TATACATTCAATTTTCTTGCCCAAAAAAGAGCCAGCATTTCTGAAGTTGTCCGCCGTCTGTAGCATCGTATAGCTTTTACTAAAATACATGAGCGAGCTTCTTCGTGTTGTTGGTACTTACCAAAAAAGATAATTGGCCAAGATCTCGCTCTTGTAAGCGCGTGAGATGAGAAATGCCTCAAGATAGGAACCCTCGGGGTCCACCGATTTCAGGTTTTCCGATAACTCCACCCGCTGTTCAGGCGATTGGTTCTCTTGCGATGTACCATCTTTCGAAAGAAAAACGAAGACTTGAGACGGTTTTTCACCAGGGAAAATTTTTCGACCGAATCGAAATTTTATTTTGTCTTACAAGCACTCAGATGGAACAAAACAGAAATCTTTTGAATTTGAACAATAGAAATTTCGCCTAGTGGAAAACCGCCTTTAAGGCCTGATTCCACGAGGCGGAATTTTTCGACCGAAACGAAATTTCTCTTTGTCTTTTTACAATTAGTTCTGCTCGAGAGCTCATGAAACAAAGAGAAATTTCGATTCGGTCGAAAAATTTCGCCTTGTGGAAAACCGCCTTTAGAGCTCCTTATCTAAACTAGATACCTCTGTCAGTTTCAAACTATTCTTCCTAGTGGTCCAAGAAGGGTCATTCACTATTTCAGACGGTTTGTGCCAGTGTAGGTAGTGGCAATTATAAGAAAGTTTCGGATTGATAGGGATACAACTACCTGGAGAAAAATACAAGGAGAACTTCGACGTTTCGAGTGAACGGCTTTGCTCGGAACGTCGACGTTCTCGCTGTTCTACAGGAACATCATCTACTACAGGATGAAACATTGAAACTAAAACTAAATCAGTTCCAAATGTTCACCCTAAAGGTCCAGTGCCAGGAGAAAACTTGCAATGTTTGGCAGAGTCAAACATACTGTATAGGAACTCTTCTTAATATTACGTGTTTCTGTGATGAAATTATAATCAGACAATTGGTATAACTGCAGAATCAAACACATGCATGTACTACCAGCAACGCCCTTAGAGCTAGGAGTTTTGGGGAAAAAACTCATGCGGTACATACCTTCCGGGTCTGCATATTCCTGCTTGACTCCAGTATGCTCAGCAAGATTAGGTTCGTATCTCAGAGCTTGAACTAACTGGAGCAAGTATAACAGTAGATCCTAGATAAAAAATACATATATTGTAAGCATGGTTAGATCATGCAGAGGTAGTACATGTTCTTGAATGTGAGCTACCCTAAAATGATCTGATGTTGTACAGAACTCACGGCTGAGTTAAGCATGGTTAGATCATGCAGAGGTAGTACATGTTCTTGAATGTGAGCTACCTTAAAGTGATCTGATGTTGTACACAACTCACTGCTGAGTTACACATGGAAAATTAATGATGAAAAATTGTCAACTCATAACTTCACCTCGTCATTTGCCTCGCGGAGTCTGGAAACAGCGTACTTCCTAACAGCTAGATTGGTAAATTGTTCGCTCAAAAGTTCCAAAGCATCGTCGACATCAATAAGACTCCACTTTTCCATCAAATCAAGAGCCTGGTAAGTAAAAGTCAGTTTTATTCAATTCTGTAATATAACTTTAATATTAAGTAATATGTGTGTCTCATTATCGTGCAGCAGATGGTGATCAACCTGCAGTTGTCAGAATGAGAAAATAATAAACGATGTTCACAGATACCTGTCCTGCTTCGTGCGGTTCATTCCATTCCACACATTTTAAGAACTTTGTGAGAGCCTGAAAAATTTTTCAATACAGTCATATGTTCGTTTCTTAATTAGGCTAGTCTTACCGCGTATATATATGCTAAAAGTTTATGCATTTCAGTTAATCGTTTTTCATACGTATATGATGGAAAAGTTAAATCCATTTAAAATTTACTTATGAACTAACTAAATGTATAAAAGGAAAACATTCAGTTTTGTGTGTGATTTAATGTGTATTTGTTGAAATAATTATAGTACTTATATAAGATTTAGAAAGATTTAAACTTCTCTGTGCGTATGAAAACTTACCTTCTTTTGACTTGAAAGATAAAACCTGAATTGCCAAAGCAAGTCTTTCTCTTCCGATGTCAAAACTTTGCTTGGTGGATAGCCAACGATTTGCTAAAATGATATCAACATGAATGTGGTGGTGGGTTCCCAGTGCATGTAGCGATAAACTTGAAGCATTGTGTAGGGTCAAATAGAACTGTCTGTGTCATCGTGGTAGTGAGAATAACACTAAAAAGATGTGGATTCCGAGGGATCAACTGCCTCAAAAATACAACTTCGACATTTCGAACGAAGGCGTTTATTTCTTTGAAATGATTCTTGTTATAGAATGAAGAATTCTCGTTTCAGGTAGTTTGACGAAAACAACTTGTTTGTTTTCGTCAAAATCCTTGAAATCCTTACAAACCTTGAAGATTAAATGGCACTACTGCTGGAGGTCGGAGCAGAGATAGCCTGTACATGTTATAGCTATACTAATTCTTGACCAAGAGCCTTCGCTCAAAACGTCGAGTTTCTGCTTGTTTTATTCAGGTAGTATACTATACAGTATAACCACTCAGCACAACAATTTCACATTGGAACTACCCCACACTGGTACAGACAGTTTTTGTACATGTTATAGACTGTATAACATATAGGCTAGACCAAAGACTACGGTCTTAGCCTTTGTTCTATAATATATTGTGCTACTAACTTCCCGACAAAGGGCCTTCGCTCGAAACGTCAAAATTCTGTTTATATTTTTTGCGGGAGTTGTATCTCTCCCTCCTCCGCAGGCGTCTCATGCGGGGAAACGGGTGGTCATTTTTTTCGAACACCCATTCGCAGGCTAAACCCATAGAGATGCCTACGGAGAAGGCCAATCTCTCGCAAACCGCAACTTTTTTTTAGCCTTTGTGGCAGAGGACGTAATAACTAAAACCCGTATAATCTGGACCCCAGAATGAACAAAGACAGTTCCAAATGAGTTTAGATTTCGTGGGAATATGTTGAAACTCGAAAAAACCACGACTTAAAGGGTATGGGCAATGAAAATTTCTTCATCTATCTTATTGCTTCATCTGAAAGAGCATGACAAAATAAGCCGATTGGCCGTTTACTGCTCTATTCTATCTCATCTGGTTCCGAAGTTATAAGCAAAAATGTGCAAAATATAAATTGCTGATTCAGCACAATGTGTGACGTCATAAGCGGGGTAAGTATGTTTATTGAATACTGCACTGAAGCATAGCTCAGTTATTATGGGCCCAAATCAAATGAAATTTTGGATACTGATTGTACATGATGAGACGCATGGAAAAACACTTCTAATTTTGTTGCCAAGGTAACAATGTCGTTCCCAGGACCCTTGCGCCAATTTTATAAAACAGCTTTATTCAAGGTACTGATAAAAATAAAATAATATCAGAAGTATGTGTACGATACCTATGCATGCCGAAAGTTTAGTTGCATGATAATAATTCGAAAATGACATACACATAGAGAAATGCAACTAGTTATTCAAAATCAGTGTAAGGGGCCTGGGAACGACTGTGTTGCCTTGACAACGAAATTAGAAGTATTTTCCCATGCGTCTCATCATGTACTATCTGTATGCAAAATTTCATTTGATTTGAGCCAATAATAACTCAGCTATGCTTTAGTTTACTATTCAATAAACATACTTACCCCGCTTATGACGTCACACATTGTGCTGAATCAGCAATTTATATTTTGCACATTTTTGCGTATAACTTCGGAACCAGATGAGATAGAATAGAGCAGTAAACGGCCAATCGGCTTATTTTTTCATGCTCTTTCAGATGAAGCAATAAGATATATGAAGAAATTTTCATTGCCCATACCCTTTAACGAACTAGTTTATCACAAGAACATAAAAAAACAATGGGGAGTAATTAAAAACATGATCGCAAAATAAAAGCGATATTGGCAATAGAAATTAAATATAAAAAACCGTAACTGGGAAGGAGAAAAAGACGTTTTCACGGGAGCTGACAATTTCAGTCTTTTCAGAACAGTATACGTTAATTTGCCAGGAATGCCAGGCTTCAATTGCTCACAAGAGAATTTGTATACGGTTAGCTTGTCCTCAAATTCCTCCGTGCCTCTTGTGCGAGCGTGCAAGAGGAAGCCCGGTTCTAATTTGAGCACTGCGCCAAATCCATCCAGTCGTGTGGAGCCTTGAGCTATTTCTATTTGAATAAAGGGGATAAACTCACATTAAGTTGATCTCTGACAGCAGCGTTTGGTTTCATCTCATGAGAGACCGTTCCACTTCGGACACTTCGAACCAACTTGTGATGCTTACTTTCGACTAAATTTTCCTATGAAAAATAAACCAAAAATTAAATTTCAAGGATAATTGTTTTGTTTTGTGGAAAACAGCACGTACTTTCTCCAGTAATATACTTTCGATCGTTAAGCCCAGATCTTCATCAATACATGCGATGCAACGCTTTGCTATACATAAATGAACAAGTTGTTTTCTGCAAACCAATCACATTCATCGCCACACAAACCTACAAAGACCTTATTACCACAAGTTTCTCTGGAAAGTTTCCGTCATTCCCCAGTTATCGCGGAATCGTAGAAAAATGTTTACACTAACCTTCTTGCGATGTCTGGCAGGCAGCCAAAATTAATTTCGTATTTTTATAATTAATTATTAACGGCAGTCAATGTGAACTATTTTGCATTCTCATATATGACAAACCTAATTTTGTTCTTAAATTTAATAAAAACAGCTTTGCATGACGTTGATACTTTTTCACGCACACAATACTTTGCAAACAATTTAAATTTTGAAATCTTGTTAAAATAAGCTGATAACATTTCCTTATCAGTTGATAAGTGTCGATATCTCAATTAAAAAACCACAATTCGCCTTGATAATTTTGCCGACACATTTCTTATGCCTTAGTCTACCTAGTTTTTTCCGTCCTTATATTAAAAACGTTTTAAAGCCGATTTACACTACATAATTTTTGCCTAAAACTGTCGCATGCAACCTGCTTACAACTTGAGTTGTATACACTGTGTAAATCAAGCACACAACTCACTTTAGACACCGTAAACGAGTTGTGTGCTTGATATTACAGCTCAAGTTGTGAGCAGGTTGCATGTGACAGTTTTAAGCAAACGTTGTGTAGTGTCTGAAATCGGTCTTAAAATTCAAGGCTGTTTCTAGCTACAGTACGTCCTCGTACTAGAGTAAACATTGCTCAGTTCATTGATATTAAATGCAAAGTAAAATACTGTAGATTAAAATTGAACAGTAGAAGCGAAAATGTTTTTGCAGAATTATCTACCTCAAAGCATATATAGGAAAGATTTATAGAATTTCTTAATATAATTCTGAATTTATATTTTTGAAGAGAACATGCAGTCAAAAAGTCATCATCTCAAGCTGAATTTCAAATGTGAAACTCGCCCCCAATCCCCGTTGACTCAATTTTTATGTTATAGCAAGGAGCGTAGTCCTGGGGACGAGGATATATTCTAGATGACGTCATTTTAGTACCTGTAATATTTCTGGATCATGAACTTTTACAATGTCTGGAATATAATGAAATTCCCCTTCGTCAGAAAGCTAAAAATATCAGAATAAAATAACAACTAAATTACAAGATATTAAAACTGAATTTGGCATGGTGAAATTTAACTATACCGGGTGGCCCAAAAAAAAGTACTCCTGTTTGATTCGTAATAACGTCTAAACAAGTAAAGCTTTTAAAGAGAAATAACTTGCATCAAATAGAGGAAGGACTAACTTAGATTTTGATATATTACAGTTGTATTTCGCTTAACAATTGACGGAGATATTAATCTTTAAAATCGGGAGCATATTTCTGGATGTGTCTGAAATATGCAAAAAACGGTGTATCAAATATTAATCAAGATTTGCCCGACTGAAACACGCACTATTACCAGTAAATAAATGATACTTGACAAATTGTTTATTATGAAGCAAAGTATTACAATATCTACAAAATACAAGCAAGATTTATTCGTCCGAAATTCGCGTGTGTTTCTAGCACGAATACGTTTCCTTATTTCATGAGACCACTGCATCGCGAAGGATCGTCATGGATAGTTCGTAGTTCTGAATTAGGGCATGCTGTCACAACGGAATTGTGAAGCTCTTCTAACTTCTGCAACGTTCTGAATTCTTGTTAAGAACACCCAAACTCTTTTTGCCTTTTCTTAATCTTGGCAAGTTCAGAGTAAACTGAGAATTATATAAAACACAATCAAACCTTACAACTCCATAAGACATAACAATTAAGCAACTCCCCAGAGACATGCAACATTTTTGGAACAAAACGTAACAAAATAGTAGCGTTGATACGGTGATGTGTATTTGCAAAAAGCAATATTATTTTCTTCAATAAAGAATAATATTCATCCTGCTCTAACCGAGAAATAATCTACTCAGTCTGTTTGAACCCATTAAAAACATAAAAAAATTAGGCTACCGGTATTTAAGAATACGAAAAATTTAAGCGCCTGCCTTCCATGGTCAGTCTTTCATGTAGATTTAAGTTTGTAAAGACCTAATATTAAATACTTGCATCATTTCGAACGTTCATATTTCAGGAAACAATGAGCTAAGACTTACATGTAAGATGTCTAAATCTACGCCATATCCCTTACAAACCCTAACGATAATTCGGTGAAATACAAGTTAGCCTTATATGTCATTAAGCAAACAAACGCTGGAGTTAATATTTGATATGCCGATTTTCGCTAATTTTAGACACATCCCAAAATATGCTCCCGATTTTCAACATAAATATCTCCGTGAATTTTTAAGTTAGATACAACTGTAATATATCAAAATCTAAGTTAGACCTTCCTCTATTTAATGCAAGTTATTTCTCTTTAAAAGCTTTACTTGTTTAGAAGTTATTACGAATCAAACAGGAGTACTTTTTTTTGGGCCACCCGGTATTATACTATATTAACTATTTAATAGCAAGGCCCTAAGAGCAATGTTTGTATGTACAATGCAATCTCGTACTCAGAGTACGCCCGTTCGCAGGTTAGGTGGCGACATACTCATGGTACGATATTGCCAAAATAATGTAAAATATAGTCTGGTACCTTTTCATAATAAACGACAGAAAAATCAACCCCATCCTCAACTATTCTTGGAAATTCAACCATCAGAAACATTGAATCTGAACTTCGTTTTTCTTTCTAAGAAATCAATAAAACATACTATACTAGCTATAGCTACTGTAATAAGACGCAAAACAATAGACATTTTCATTATTTACGTTTCTACTATTAATTTAAATCATCTTCAAAAGAATGCCGCGTATTTTAATTTCAAATACGTATTTTAATTTTTAATGCCAAGTATTTTTAATTTGTTTCTATAGCTACTGAGTACTGTACTTGCATGTTTACGCGTCGTAGCCGCAGAGAACGCCGAAGTGGCATCTGGTTTAACCATAGCCTATCGAAGAGAAGATGGCTGAGAAACTATTATAAAAAATATAAAAAAATATATAAAAAATTTAGATCAATTGTGTAAAATTTCGCTGAAAAGCCTTTTAAGGATGTGAAATAAAATAAAAAAACTCGTTAATAATTCAGGAGCAAAACACAAAGAAAAATCATAAGCGTGTCGTATCTTTATATGTGATAAAAATCATGTTAATTTACATAAACTTTAGCTTTGATTTTCTCGGTTTAGACAAAGTTTATTTTACAAATTACTTCGCTAATGTACTCATCAGAAGATGGGTCGTTTTTTAAGCCATTTAAAGCACGCGTAGGAGTGTTTTATCAGATATAAAACGCTCGGCTGCGCCTCGCGTCTTATATCTGATAAAACACTCCTACGCAGGCTTTAAATAGTACTTACAATACAATACAATACAATCCAAACTCATCAGAATAACAATATAACTCCTTATCTATGTTGGTCAACGTTTATTCATAAATCTGGTCCTTCACCCTCACGTGCGTATTGTATTTTTGCCCAACTAACCAATAGCAATGTTTTGGGAAAGTTACCTTCCGTGACTCGAACAATAGGGTAAATTGGAAATTGCTATTGGTGGATTTGGTAAAAATACAATACACACGTGCCGGTGAAACGACCAGATTTATGAATAAACGTTGACTAACATCATAATGAGTTATATTGTTATTCTAACGAGTTTCACAGCCATCTCCCCTTCGATAGGCTATGGTTTAACAACAAAGTTGTTTGTTACTACAATGGTTTGTTTACGAAATCCTTCATTTGAGATTCTCGTAACATTGAAATGTATAATCAAGCAGTAAAGAAACATTGTCGAAGAAGACTGATTAAACACGCCATCGAAGCTCTGACAACTGAAAGAAGTACTTCCGTGTGTGTTCAACGAGACCATGTACGCCGCGTCTGGGAACAGCTTCGTGAGAGTAAAGCAACAATATCACAGGAACGTTTCACTCCAGAACAACGTGAAAAGATCTTGGACGAGATTGGAAATTGGGAACGGTTTTATGACAGTCAAGTGCAGACGAAAAAAGCTTCAGATCTACGCGTATGTTATCTAAGCGGAGATGACCCAACCAACGATCTTAAGGTTTTGGTGGGAAATGGAGTCCTTTGTCAAAACGTGTGGGCGATCGAAAACGATGACGAAGCTTTCGAAAAAGGATTGGGGAATGTCGCTCAATCCAACATGAGAAATATTCGGCTTTTTAAAGGTGATTTTCTAACTTGTTTAAAAGACTTTGAAGGACAGTTTGATATCATTTACTTCGACGCATGTGGGACATTGCCTTCAAAGAAACAGAAAACGCTGAAAGCAATCGGTTCTATCTTTCTTTATAATAAGCTCACTTCTCCAGGAGCTTTGATTACCAATTTCTCATTTCCACCTGAGCAGGAGGAAAATGAAAAAGTCACAATCACACAAGAAAGAAACAGGTTTGACCACATCACCACACATTACCTGAGGCATAGATTAAGGAACACAAAGCCTTGCAATCGTGAAAATATTCTTGACACTATTTCTATTGAGGAAAGATATGGTAACTATATTACTTTCCAGGTCATCGATTCTGCTTGTCTGTACATTCCTACTTACAGAATGCTGTCCAGCGACAAAGAGTCCGAGTCTTTGTGGGATCAAATTTTCAAAAAAAAAGAGACGTTACAGATTTTCAAGAATCGTACATATGAAAAAGAATGGATGTACGATCTTAGTAAAACCATAGAGAATTGCAACGAAAATCTATGCAAAACATGGGTCAGGGACACTTTCCCTGATCGGCAGTCCTTAAGCAAATTGATAGAATGTAAGATGAGTTTCCTCATTTTGACCAATCCATTTATGAAAAGTGATAAGCAAAATGTTATAGATATAGAAGATTTTGGAAATAAATATATACTTGAGAAGATGTTGCAACTACTGACAGAACTTCACGTATTGTTACAGAGCCATAGAGTGCCGTTCATAAATTTAATGTTGAGGGTTTTGTATAGCCAAATGGCATATCCTTCATTCCCAGTGGTAAATAAATCTCTACGTCTTCAGTATACTGCAAAGAAGCGACAAATGTTCTGCGATGTATTTATTTTCGACAAGTGCCGATACCTATACGAACAATTCCCCAGCGTCCACTTCTTCAATTTTGCCAAGGAGGAGGCTTGGCAGGTGGTGTTCTGTATGGTTGCCAATGGATTACAGAAGCATATTGGAGATGTTTACAGTAACATGTATCACAAAGAGATTAGCGCAATGCTTGAGGGGGTGCCTGAATCTGCAGACAGCCACTATTATATTCCTGACAGAGAAGTTCTAGACTTCGAGTATTTCAGTAAAAACGGAATCAGATTGGAAGAAGAAGGAAATCTAGAGGAAGCTAAGGTATGTTTTGGTGCATGTTGCGAGCTGCGCCCAAATGTGACAATTGACACCATGAAAGCTTTGTGCTACCAAAAGAGAGCATGTCTAGATCTTCATCGGAGCTTAGAAGAATGCGAGAAAGCATTGGCTTCAGATCCCGATAACCTTGAGGTGGAAAACATCGTACAAAAAATGTTGAAAGAATTCAACAAAACTGCCCAAAGAGCGAAAATGATGTTTAAAAGTCGCTCTCCTCCGCAGAGGCGTCATAGTATATAAACTTGCATTATAAACACGCGGGTTATATACCCGCATCCCCCACGTGCATTCACCAGTTAAATGAATGCCTTACATTTTCCGGGCGTAAATTAAGTGACATAAAGGGTAAAAGGCGATAAAGCAGAGATGCGATACCAGCGAAAAGGTAGAACGAAGATATCAGCGGAAGACATATAGACTACTAGATAACTAGTTTGGCCATTTATAAAGGCAAGAATGCAAGAAATAACTCTTGAATATGTATGCTTGTGCTGAGTTGTGCATGCAAACTGTGGAGTAATAATTACACTATTTAGTATTAATTCTTGTTACATTTGAAATACATTTGTTCACATGTGTGTACGTAATACAGGCTAATTAGTAGTTAGTCAAATTAATCACTAGTACTAGTTCACACCATGGGCATACCGGAAGGAAAAAATTAGGGGGCGGAAAGAAATTTGCCTGACTTTTTCTGATTGTGCCCGACCAGTGCCGAAAATTTTTTTTCCAGAACAAATTAATTTTGGC